ATATTGGTTTCTTAATTAAGGAATTTTGTTGAGCTTCGTAAAATGTCTACCAAAATCTCATACGACAAAATTTTAAACATTCCTAAACGCCCTCTCGTGACACTTTTGAATAAAGAAAAAAAAAAAACAAATAGAGTTTCATTTCCCTAGATTCAAGTATGGCGTATGATTTTTGTTTTTTTTTAATAAGAACAAAAGATTAAAGAACATTCAATTTTTAGTAATTTCGTTTTTTTTTCGTGAATATTCTTAACCGTTACAACACTGATGATCACTTGAAGCAGTTACTGAATTTTCTTCTTCCCATTCTTTTGAACAAATTGTATAAATGTTGTGTTAGAAATGGTATTTGTAAAAAGTGTTTTAAAATTTTCGCTGATTTTTTAATAGTATCTGTATTTATCAAAGTTTTTAGATGTAAGATAGAAAAAGTATAGTATTATTAATAACGTAAAGAGTTGTAACAATTAATTCTTACGTAATTAATTACTAGCAGCCGCCAAATTAATTAAAACGGTTACGCTAAATTATTTAATCTGAGAAGTAAATTAATATTTCGAAATAGCGGTTTATAAATAAACAATTTAGAAAAAAAAAAAAAAGGCCTAACAATTAGGAGGTAGTTACGGTAAATCTTAAACCCACCAAATAACCTCTCCTTAATCCTCGCCAAAACCCTAACCTCTCACTCTCTCTTATATATTTCGTGACAGTTAAGTTAACTTACGACCTGACTTATGTCTTTACCTCACTTCAATACAAAAAAAAAGACAGAACAAAAGTATCTTTGATCCTCTCTTATTATCCTCTCTTGTCCTTTCTCATTAAGCTTAATTTAGCAGCATTTAAAGCTAATTAAATCTAAATTAATCACTCCAAACCACCAAATATCTGTAACTCCTCCTAATTGCTTCACATTCTGCATTCTCTTCGTCTTCCTCAATGGATTGCTTAAGCTACTTCACCAACGCAGATATGATTCAGCTTCAGGATTGCTTTATCCCTGATCTGGATATGGATATGATTATCCCTGAAACTGACACGTTCTTCTTCCAACCACAACTTCAAAACCAGCCATTACCATACAACGAAGCTCTTTCACCATCTCTCTTCGGGTTTGATCACTTGGATACTTTCTACGATCCGTTTCTTCTTCCTCAAGAAACCTTTGACCCTCTCCCTAACCCTAAAACCGAAGTCTTCAACGAGTCACAAGACTTAGACTCTTTCTTCAACACTCCAAAACACCAAAAGCTCATAAACTCCAGCTTCCATTTCAACACTACTACTCACGACCCCTTTTTTACAAACCCTAACCCTAATCTGTTGGATTCTTACACCACCGAAGCTTCCAACTTTCGAGTTCCTGATTTCACTCCGGCTTTCAATGTCGGGTGGAGTGAAGAAGACAACACCAAGAAACCGGGGCTTTCTTCTCAGAGCATTGCAGCGAGAAAGAGGAGAAGAAGAATCACAGAGAAGACTCAAGAACTCGGAAAACTAATCCCTGGAAGTCAGAAACATAACACTGCCGAAATGTTTCAAGCTGCAGCTAAATATGTCAAATTCTTACAGGCTCAGATTGAGATTCTTCAACTGAAGCAGACCAAAATGCAGGTATAATATATAATGAACGCTAATTCCATTTACTTAATCGCCAAATTAGTCTATATGTATGTTAAGATTTTGATTGATTTTGCAGACGCATGAGAGTCCAAAGGTGGAAAGAGAAATGGAGATTTTGCTTGCGTCTCAAGAAATCCAGGAAATGTTATCAACAGTAGAAGTTTGTGTGGTTCCAGTGGAAATGGTTCAAGTTCTGAAAGCCGAAGAATGCATTTTGAGAAGCCCTAAGATTTCTCGAGACATTAACAAGTTGCTGTTCTAAGATCTGGTTAATTAGTTTTGGATTACCAGTGTCTAAATCCTTTAACTTGTTGTTGTGTCTGATTCGGATTAATTTCTCCTTGTACTAGTTTCTATATTAGCTAGAGTTTCACCATTAGTTAATTTTCTTCTTAACTAATGTAACTCAGTGTGTGTCTTACGAAGTTTTATCCAGAAATGCTAATAGGCTCTGTTTTATGTCAAGAAAAGTTTAATTAAATTGAGTTTTGGTTAATCTTACCTTTAAAATACAAGTAAACGAGACTGCATAATTTTACTGCTCATGCTTATGTACAGTATAACGAACTAGTTCCGCAATAATTTTTGTTATCGAATATTTTGTTTGAGGATGTTGATAAGAATTATTTTATATGTTTATGCTTTATTCTGATAATTTTAATTTGGTTGTAACTTGTAAGGAAAAAATGAATAAATACAAGTATACAACTATTGTAAGTTATAAAATTTACAGTTTTTATATGGGCCTGAGAGGAAATAAATATGGCTCACGTATTTGATTTTGTAAAGCCCACAGGGGCAGTTCCTAAATGATATTTTATGGGTAGGTAGGTCATTAACTCGGTTTCTAATTTTCTTTTGATTGGTAAAAGTACAAGA